TATTTTTAAATAAATATATTAAGTAAAAAAGGCAAGCTTCAAAAATGCATTTGGTATAATGTCACTTTTCTCAAAAATATATACACATAGGGTTTTCAAAAGATCTACATCAAGGTAGTATTAAGACTGTGAATGGTACCAACGGCATATTTCACAGACCTAGAACGAACTCTCCAAAAATTCATCTGGAATAAAAAAAGACCCCGAATAGCTGCAGCGATTCTGAGAAAGAAGAAAGTAGGTGGGATCTCAATACCAGATATCAAGCTGTATTACAAAGCCACTGTTCTCAAAACTGCCTGGTACTGGCACAAGAACAGACATATAGATCAATGGAATAGAATAGAGAGCCCAGAAATCAGCCCCAACCAATACGCTCAATTAATATTTGACAAAGGAGGCAAGAACATACAATGGAGTCAAGACAGTCTCTTCAATAAATGGTGCTGGGAAAATTGGACAGATACATGCAAGAAAATGAAACTAGACCACCAACTTACACCATACACAAAAATAAACTCAAAATGGATAAAGGACTTAAATATACGACCGGAAACCATAAAAATACTAGAAGAATCCAAAGGCAACAAAATCTCAGACCTATGCCGAAGCAATTTCTTCACCGATACAGATCCTAGGGCATTGGAAACTAAAGAGAAAATAAACAAATGGGACTACATCAAAATAAAAAGTTTCTGCACAGCAAAAGAAACCATCAACAAAACAACAAGAAAGCCCACTACATGGGAGAACATATTTGCCAACATTATATCTGATAAGGGCCTAATCTCCAAAATTTATAGGGAACTCATACAACTTAACAAAAGGAAGATAAACAATCCAATCAAAAAATGGGCAAAGGATCTAAATAGACACCTTTCAAAAGAGGACATTCAGAAAGCCAAGAGACATATGAAAACATGCTCAAAGTCACTAATCATCCGAGAGATGCAAATCAAAACAACAATGAGGTACCATCTCACACCTGTCAGACTGGCTATCATCAACAAATCAACAAACGACAAGTGCTGGAGAGGATGTGGAGAAAAAGGAACACTTGTGCACTGCTGGTGGGAATGCAGACTGGTGCAGCCACTATGGAAGACAGTATGGAGTTTCCTCAAAAAACAAAACATGGAACTCCCATTTGACCCTGTGATCCCACTTCTAGGAATATATCCCAAGAAACCAGAAACACCAATCAGAAAGGATCTATGCACCCCTATGTTCATAGCAGCACAATTCACCATAGCTAAGATTTGGAAACAGCCTAAGTGCCCATCAGTAGATGAATGGATTAGAAAACTGTGGTACATCTACACGATGGAATACTATGCTGCTGTAAAAAAGAAGGAACTCTTACCATTTGCAACAGCATGGATGGAACTGGAGAGCATTATGCTAAGTGAAATAAGCCAGTCAATGAAGGAAAAATACCACATGATCTCACTCATTCATGGATAATAAAGAACATCATAAACTTACGAACAAAAATAGATACAGAGGTAGAGCTGCCTCAAACAGACTGTCAAACTGCAGTGGGAAGGCCGAGGAGGGTAGGGGGGCAGAAATTGGGGGTAAGAAATCAACCGAAGGTCTTATATGCATGCATATAAGCATAACCAATGGACATAAGACCCTGGGGGGTAGGGGAGGCCAGGGGATTGTGAAGGGTGGCGGAAAAAAGGAGACATATGTAATACCCTTTGTAATACTTTAAGCAATAAAAAAAAAAAATCATGTAATTCTTACTCAGGTTGGCATATCTGGTAAATAAACATATCACCTATGAATGTTCTATTTAACTTAATTCCTCTGAAATATAATAGTTTGAAAAAGAACTCTCAGACATCTATCGTGAATGGACTACATGATGTGGGATGTTAATTATTTCACATATTGTTTCCCTGAAAAAAAACCTTACAAAGATATAGTTCTTCTTTTATTCTCTTCAAGAATCTTCTGCTCATGCTATTTCCTACCGGTAATCTTTATAAGCCATTGTGAGGAGACAAAAAAAAAAAAAAAAGCCTTACTCTAATCAGTTACCTTTTAAAACTTTTCAACTTTGTTGCTGTTTTCAAAAAGCTTACTGAAATGCTGTTTTTAAGTCAACTAAGGTTTTATAAAAGTGCAGTAACTGCTGTGTGCTAAAAGACTCCTCTTCTTTCTGTGGCAGTTCTAACTTCCCAGCAAAGAAGTTACTACTCTTACTCCACTACCCCATTATCATTGTTTGTTATTTGAAAACCACTTAGTCTTAGTATGTAATTAAAGAATCTCCATACCTTAAATTTTTCTTAGACAATGTATTCATTTTTACTTTAAAAAAAATTATAAACAATATGAAATTATAAAATGAACATTTTTCTTCTACTTGGTTGGCTGCCAGGAAGCTCAGAGATCAATTTCTAACCTACCTTTAATAACTGTTCAGACTTTTGCACACATTTTGAGGGAACTTTATATTGGCTTCATCTTACTATTTGAAAACTATTTTTCTTGCTAAGCTCTTTCTTTATATCTTTTTAAAAGATATATTAGACCATTCTACAATCACATAGCATTAGATTTTTTTTTTAAACCAGAAAGTTTTCTATTTTAGGTAAAAAATAAAGGCAAACCATAATTGTATTGAAAAAACACAACAAACTAAATAAAATTAGAAGCAGAATAGAATAACGGTTAAGAATATAAACCCTGGAGGAAGATGGCCACCTGGCATTTAAAACTCAGCTCTGCTTCTTGGTAGCTGTATGACATGAGGCATGTTACCTATCCTTGATGAACCTTAGCTTCCTTACCTATTCAATAAGCACAATAATAAGTTAACCTAAAGTTGTTGTGAAGATCAAATGAAAATGCACATAAATTATTTAGCATAGTGCTTTAGCACAGTAAATACTCAATGAATGTTAATTATTTCTATAATTTAACTGATAGTCTTACAATTTAATGGACTATCTATGAATAATATGAACATAACTGTGTCACTGTCCCCTAGTACCCTTTGAAAGCTATCAAAATCAATGTCAGAAAAGAATGCTCTAAGGATATAATTTCTTAATTCTATTTTGAATTTATATGTGCTATTTATTATACTGCAATTATTTGTGGAAGGTTGAAGATTATTGAGGCAAAATATTAGTTTGAAACACAATAACTTGAATATGAAAATTTAGTTTTTACATCTTTCCTTTTTGGTCAATGTTTAAAGACTACACTAGCATATCTAGCCACCAAAATGAGAGAAATGATTTGTTTTTCCTCTTTTGGTGTATAAAAATAGTTGTACAACTTAAAAGTCAAAGAAAAAACCCCCCATATTAATAATAAGTAATTTATGATGGATAAAACTTAAGTTCCCTACATAGATAGCAGAATGCCAGAAGATACCATTGTGGTATTTTAGAGAATAGGAAAATAAGATTAGTAATTAGATCAAAAGTTCTCAAAGTGTAGTCAGAATACCTGGAAGGTTTCAGAGATACTTTTTTAGGGGAAAGAAGGTAGTGCACAAAAGCCTATTTTTATAAAAATACTAAACTGTTATTTGTCTTTCTTACTCTCATTCTTTCATGAAAGTTCCATAAGTTTTACAAAGATTATATGTGTTATATCACAACAGGATGAGTACAGAAGCAGATATGAGAATATCGCTATCTTCTATTAAGCCAGAAATTAAAGAAATTTGCAAAGGTGTTGAACAAAAACAAAAAAGCAAGCTGCTCTTATTCATTTTTGTGTTACAAAAATTATTTTTCACAAAAATTTTACTTGTTAACAGGTAATGAAATTTATTGTTATTTTTAATGAATAGATACAATTTTAAAACATTCCCATATAATAAATATCAATATATCCCACAAAAGTAAAAGCTCTTTAAGAGTTCTCAATAAATTTGAAGAATATTAAGTTTTGAGGTTAAGAAGTTGAAGAACTGCACTAGATTTTTTAAAAAATGTTTCTATTGATTTTTATTTTTTTTATTTAGTTTAATCCTCACCTGAGGATATTTTTCCATTGATTTTTTAGAGAGAGTGGAAGAGAGAGGGAAAGACAGAGAACTACAGATGTGAGAGAAGCACATCAACTGGTTGCCTCCTACACACGCCCTGCCTAGGGCCCGGGTCTAGGAGGAGCCTGCAACCAAGGTACAAGCCCTTGACCGGAATCGAACCCAGAACCCTTTGGTCCCTAGGCCGATGCTCTCTCTATCCACTGAGCCAAACCGGCCAGGGCACAACTAGATTTTTGAATTTAAAAAAAGAGAGAAAAAAATAACAAATCCATTCAAATATATCAGATTTCAAAATCATAAAAGATAAAATTGTCCTTCAAATGCTAGAAAAAAGTAAAATAATAATTTAAAGATCAGAAAAATTCAGTTTAGAATATTTTTCAGAAAAATAATCTTATGTATAAAGAAATATAAAGGTGCATAAAAACCTATGACTGAAAGGATTAAAAAAAAATACTACAAAATTTTGAGAGATGACATGTCTTAATGGTGAGACAATAGAGGTTCTCCTCTTTTGTAATTTTCTGCATATTCTTAACTAAGCCTTTATTATTTGTATAAATAACAATGTTTTTAAACATTATATTGAGGTTATGAAATAAACTGCATTTAAATAGCGAGGCTAGATCAAATCTTTTTGAACAATATATAGCTGAGAGCCAAACATCCCTTAGAAAACATTATTGATATGCTAATAATATTAAACACCCTCTGAGTGTTACTTAGTAATATGGAACTCTAAAAGGGGTTTTAAATTGCTTTCAACTTGGCAAATTCTGACCCAATATTAACATCATTGTATTAGCTTATACAGTCTTTGGTTGATGAATAATTGTCATAAATGGAATATTTAAATTCAGTATTTTTACATATTATGAGATGTCATGATAGCGAATGATCATGGAATCTACAAATTTATAGTTATAATTAAAATAGTAACAGTAACAAATAAAAGTTATTTTTTTAAATTCACACTTACCTACTATACTCTTTTCTGGAGCTGGTGGTACAATATAACCGACATGTAAATACTTGCTTGCTAACTTGCTATGCAAACCAAGAAAGTCACTAAATCTTCTTTTAACTGAAAATTCATTCTTACTGAACATGGAAAGAGAAGTCTACAAGTGAAAAAGAGGTATTTCAAATTCTAAATACTGAGCAATTATTCAGAAGTCAATGTCATATATAACTGTGAACATGCATGTGTATACATCCACTGGTATACTTTATAAAAGAATCCAGAGTAGCTAATTTGGCATACAAATTGCTAACAAACGAAAAAAACCTAAATCATAGGTGTTTTTTATAGAATCTTAAGGGAACAGAAAATATTTGCTTTATTCACCTCATTGACTCTACTTATATTTATGCTAATAATTCTTAAATCTTTAACCTTACCTAGATCTCCTCTGAGCTTCAGTCCAACATATTGGAACGCTCAAGGAACACCTCCACTTAAATCTCACTGCCACCTCAAATTCACCATATTTTCCCCTCCTGGAACTTGTTTACTATTATACCTTAGTGTTTGGAAAATAGCCTGACCCTATGGTGTTTAATAAATATCTGTTCAATGAATTAACAAATCTCACCCCTGTCCACACAGTGTTCCTCCACTTGTGCTGTCTTTTCTCCAGGATCCCTCCCTCATGCCTTACATCCAAGCCCTATAGATTCTACCTCCTACACAACTCAAGAAGCCTTTTATTTCACTCACCCCCAGAACCAATTCCTTATGTAAAGTGTTACTTCTCATAGCTAGGGTTCCTACAGACCATCTCTCTTCTTTTTAAGACTTAATGACCTACAATCCTTTTTAAAATTGCAATGGCACCCTAGCTGGTTTGTCTCAGTGGATAGAGCATCAGCCTGTGCACTGAAGGGTCCCGGGTTCCATTCCAATCAAGGGCACATGCCCTAGTTGTGGGCTGGATCCCCAGGTAGGGGGTGTGCAGGAGGCAGCGATCAATGATTCTCTCTCATCACTGATGTTCCTATCTCTCTTCCTCTCTGAAGTCAATCAAAATATATTTTAAAAAAAAATTGCAATGGTCTCTTAATTAGAAATCCTGACCTCTGCTTTGACACTCCCAATTCATACTGAGTCTCAGAGTTCTTTCTAAATCAAAAATCTAATTGTGCTATACTCTTATTTCAATCTCTTCAATGGCTCTCCATTATCCTCAGGATGAAGTTCAAATTCCTTAAGGTGGCTGTTTATAATATAAGGAGGCTTATTGCTACACAATTCAATCAGGTACCACTTCTTGCAGATCCTAGAAGATACAATGCTTTCTTGACTTCTGGCTTTTATACAAGCAAATTCCTTTGCCTGGAACATGCTATTCTCATTTCTTCCTCCTATCTTTGTCTAATTAGGTCCCTTCCTGCATATTTTCAAAGAATACTCTACCAAACCACTCACAACTCAATGTAACAACCTATTTGCAATCTTTACTGGATGGTCACCTTGGTAAAAAAAAAAGGGATCACTTACACCTTAATCACCCTTGTACTATACTTAGAGGACTATTATTTTTTAAAGAAGCAAAAGACTCACCTTTGTTGTTACTCTATATGCCATGTAAGCATTCATGCCATCACCTGTAAGAAAAGTCAAATAATACTATTAAGAAAACATGAACTTAAGCACACACACACAAATGTAACTAAATGTGTGAGACAATGTGATTAACTTGACTGTGCTAATTTCATAATGTATATATACATTAAATCATCATCATCCTAAATATATACTATTTTTATTTGTTAATTAGACCTCAATGAAGCTAAGAAAAAATAAATACATAAAAATAAGAAGCAAAAGTCCCCCAAAGCTTAAAAATAAAAGTACCATTTAACACTGTAACAATGTATTTATTAACCAAGCTAATTTTCAAAAAAGAAGCAAGTAAAAAAATATAATAAATACTGACTCACCAACTTTCTCTGGATCTGATACACCAATTTCTATATCAAAAATATCTCCATTTGCTTCTTCTTCAATCTAGAAAAGATTTTTTTTTGGTGTTAAAGATTCCAATTTATATTATTGTCATAACACTAATCACTATAATTTTTATCATCTTTTACTAAGGTCACTGTCACACCAATCAATTTAAAAAGCCATTCAGAGTTGGTTTGGCTCAGAGGATAGAGCGTCGGCCTGTAGCCTGAAGGGTCCCGGATTTGATTCCAGTCAAGGGCACATGCCCGGGTTGGGGGCTCAATCCCCGAAGGGGGCATGCAGGAGGCAGCCAGTCAATGATTCTCTCTCAGCATTGATGTTTCTATCTCCCTCTCCCTCTTCTTTCCTTTCTGAAATCAATTAAAAAAAAAAAATTTAAATTAAAAAGCCATTCAGCACTCCATTTGTAAAAAATAAAAGCTTTCGTATTTCCTGACTATGTAAAAACACATACACACAAAGAAATAGAAAAAGGATCATTTGGAAAAGTAAAACAAAATCTTGTGTTCTTGTAACTCCTTACATGAAGAAAATCCATTTTAGTCTTCTGTAGGAATACTGCGGATTTTTTTTCTATATATCAAATCTTCAGACTCAGGTTATTAAATTTAGCTTCTTCATTATTTTTAATAGTAGCATTTTTCAGTTGTATCTATTCTTTAATAAGCAGCAAGTAGCCATTACTTTTGCCAGTAGATTATTAGATACTTAAAGAAATTATTATACTAATAAGCAACTTTAGCATCTGGTTTCTTTAATTACATAGTAAATACATGTTCTTAAAGCCAATGAAAGCACTATAAGCTCACTGAAAAAAACAGTAAGAAAAATGATAATACTATGAGACTACAGAAGTACTTTTAATTTAAAATAAAAAATCCTAATAGCAACTCTGCAGGAAAGTTTTATTATTCTCAAGCAGCACAGAAATTGTTAAATATTGCTAATTTTTAAAGCAATATTAAAGTCTAAAACCATCTAAAAGAAAAGTGAGTATTTTAACTATAATCTTTTTATTTCAAGGTTGTACTCTTATACAGTTTTAAAAGTTTCCGTATTTGAAATGTAGTACATATGAAGTATATAACTCCTAAGTGTACAGTTCAATAACTTTCACAAAGTAAACCTAGATCAAGAAACAAACAGTATCATTATACACCAATGGCCCTCTTATGCTTCCTCTCCAGTCAGAACCTATCCTCCAACCTGCCAACATAACTAATATTAACTGCATGCTTTTATCAAATAAAATTGCTCAAAATATCACTTTGTTGTAATTAAGTTTCAAAGCACTTTCATACATTATCTTATTTGATTAACACAGAACCTTGAGAGGCACAGATCATCACACAATCCCAAATGACAAACTCCTTGCCTTAAGAAGGAAAGTGGTTTTGCCCGGGTCGGTTAGAGCATTGTTCCATGCACCAAAAAGGTTGCAGGTTCAATTCCTGGTCAGGGCACAAACCCAGGTTGTGGGTTCAATCCCCAGTCGGTTGCATATGGAAGGCAACTGATGGATGTTTCTCTCTCACATTAATGTTTCTCTCTCTCTCTTCAAAAGATATCTTCAGGTGAGGATTAAAAAATAAAAAATAAGGAAAGTGATTTGCCCAAGTTACTGGATTAAAAAGCTAAGTCACTAGACTCTTTAGTCCAATGTTCTTTTCCCAAAATGTCTATACAGCTTTGATTAGAAATGACTAACAGGAGAGTGATGTTGGTTGGGGAACAAAAAACTTAATAGTTACATATTAATTTAGAATACAAAATCTTTCCATACCTCTTCCCTAGATCTATCAAAGATCACAGGAGCAGACATACTCTTTGATTCAATTCTGGGAGCAATGAGTGTAGTAGGGGTCACAGGTGTGACAGCAGGAGAAGGTTCAGAGGAGAGGATAGGTTCCCTTTCTGGACTGTCCAGAGAAACTTCTTCTGTGGCTTCTAGATACAAATTAAACAAGTCAGTTAAGGACACTGGTAACAAAACCCCAATAGTCTAGATAGCAGTTAATGAATTATGAAAAATCCTATATAATAAAAGGGTAATATGCAAATGGACTGAATGGCGGAACGACCGGTAGTTATGATGCACACTGACCACCAGGGGGCAGATGCTCAATGCAGGAGCTACCCCCTGGTGGTCAGTGCGCTCCCACAGGGGGAGTACCACTCAGCCAGAAGGCAGGCTCATGGCTGGGGAGCGTAGCGGTGCGGGGAGCCTCTCTCACCTCTGTGGCAGCGCTAAGAACCCCTTGGAGTATGTCCGACTGCCTGCTTAGGCCCGCTCCCTGGGCTGTCGGACATCCCCTGAGGAGGTCCCAAGAGGGTGCAGGCTGGTAAGGGGACACCCCCCCCCCACAGTGCACGAATGTTGGCACTGGGCCTCTAGTATTTTATACTTCCCACAAATAAATACCAAAATGTTATTTCTAAATAATTGTTATAATTTCATGAATCCTTCTTTAGTTGTCTATTAAAACTCTAAAACCAACAGTGACTTTGTTGATTTTAGGAAGAATTCCAGCAAAGTTAGCTTAAATATCTATACATAATCATCTAGTGGTAGGAATAAAGCTAGTAGGAAAGCAATTGATGTGGATAATTCCATCATCATTTGTGTTTAGATTTGTAATATATCTTATACTTGTGGTAACTTACCTTCCAAAGTCTTTTATTCAGACTAACACTGATTATTTTATATATACATAAACACAAACTTTATGGCAGGAAGCTGCCCAGAAATATCCCAACTGGGATTAAAAATTTGTTACAGAAAATTCTTTACAGATAGTAATCTAAAGCAATTAACTGCTAAAGATTACTGGATATTAGAATACATAAATATGACACAAAGCAAACAGGTGTTTAGATTTTAATTTAAAATGTCCATTCACTTAAAAAATCTGAAATTAAATGTATTTAAAGCCAAATCAACAAATTACCTATAAGCTATGTAACATTGTGCTAGATGCAATGGAGAAACGCAAAGAAATGTAAAATATCATACCTGCCCTCAGGGAGTTTATAATCTAGTTGGGAAAATAAAACATAAGCATGTGGAATGTTAAATAATAATAAAAGACAAGTAATAAAAGTGAACAATAAAAAAAGAATGTTACAAGACATTTAATTGCTATATGAATTATAGACAAAGACTAAAATCTGAGCTGAGATGGGAGACAATACTTTAGGGTATGGAAAATCAGGAACAGTTTACAAAACTGAGCAGAGAAGATTTGGATGGGTAGTGCTCCATGAAAATGAATAGCATAAGTAAAAAGCAAAGCCATAAAAATGAAAATTACAATTAGTGGCCAGGACTGCAAGGAAAATAAGATCAGACCACTTGTTTCTAATTGTAGGTTCTTAAATTCCTAGAGGTTTGTGAAGGTAATAATGGCAATCTGTGAGCCACTTTAATTTGAACACCTCAAAAAGCATACTAGAAATAAGGTAAATGTGTTAATATTTAAATGTAAACAATTGCATTTTATCAATCTACTCTTACTGGTTATCTCATGTTGATGAAATCTTTATTTAGCACTGCTCTCTTTATTTTTTATATTAAAAATAAAAATAATAATAATCAAAATCCTTCAAACTATGGTAACCAGAGGAAGAAAATAGACTATAGATGTTGAATACACTATAGATGACCCTAACATAACAAATTAAAATCTTACATGCAACAAGGCTGTTAAGATTGCTAATATTTATTCTTTTTTTTTTTTTAAAAATGAAACTAATAAGTAGTAAATATAAGAAAGAAAGGAAGCAATATCAAAGGTAGGAGGTGTAAGAGCTTTAATCTACAAACAAGTAAAACAACAAGCAGCAAACAAAACAAAATAAAAAAAATCAAAAAATCAAAATTCTCTGAAGGAGGTACTGTTACCAGCAACAAACCCATAGACAAAAAACTGTGAAAGACATTGTAACTTTATTAAGATATCAGTGCAGGTAATTCAAAGTCATTTTAACTTTTCAATCATATTTTACTTCACTGATAAATCAGGTTTTTGTATTCTTTGTACAGACTCTGATAAGCTGTTTCATAAACAAAATAAAAACTAAATATGATCTAAGTAACTAATATGGAGGGGGAAAATAGAAATAAATAGATACAAACCTAGGTTTAGCATGCTAATACATAGTCTACCTTAAATTCCTTCATGAATTTTTTTTAATCAAAAGTAAAGTAACATGCTATATGTTCATGAAGTTTAATTTAATTTAAAACAGACCTAAAGGTTCCAGAAGATGCCCCATAGGTACTAAGTATAAAGATTAACTTTTCTTTGGAAGAGATACTTTGAGGACAACTACAAATGTCAGCTAAGTAACAGTTTAAACATATGATAGACACCAGAGAATTTTTAAACAAAGGAATACTCATTAAACTTACAATTGGTATTATTTGATTAAAAAAAAAATAAGTGAAATAAGCTAAGTATCCTGGCAGAAACAAGTTCTAAAAGTCTAAGACAATTCCAATATGCACACCCTCACTTACTCCTCTAGGACAGTTTCCTAAAGTATGCTCAGTGAAGTACATTGCAGGATGTAACAAATGGTGGAGAGGGGCTCTGAAGCCAACCTTATTTGGTGAGCACTCTCTAAGTTAATAATAGCAACATACACATTTGAACTTTTTCTGATACCACTTCTAACATAACTAATATTTGAAATGCTACATAAAATGCATCAGCGTACATACCAATATAATCTAATCCCCTTATGGTTTAAAAATCAAAATGGCTAAATCACTACAGCAATATCTATATTCTCTCCTCTGATATAGGGGAAATAAATTAAGTACATGGTCTTATTACTGGACAATAGTTTCACCATTCTGGTAACATTGCTACTCTCTATTATGGTTTCCTAGAACCAGACTCCTCCATAGAAGGGGGAATGAATGATATATCTACTTAAAGTCTTCTTAAATAAGATGCAAGTGTAGTATTAACTCATTCATATAAAAATGATCAGATTATGACATGCAGCTGAGTTTAAGAAAAAAGATAAAGCACAAAAAGTGTTTGCAAATAACAAAGGAAACATAACTATGTTTAGTGTTTAGTCCCTGTTTCTCTTTTCTTTGAAAACAAACATAGGCATTGACCATATTTGTATCACAAAATTTAGTATTAGAGGCCTGGTGCACAAAATTCGTGC